CAACCAAGAAAACGCACGATTCTTTTTATACGATTTAAATTATCTTTAAGTTTTAATTTGCTTTAAGTTTCCAGTGAAATTAAATGTTAAACACAGCTTAAACATTCCAAACTACCTATTTTTTAAATAAAAATCCAAACAAATTGAAATTAGATTCCTACCTATTTATTAAACAATTAATTGAATTCAATGTACATAATAGCAAAAATCCATTTCTACTTAAATCATGTTGCTAGGTATTGTCAAACTATTACTGCTTTTAAAAGCAATAATAATTATTGTAGGTACATTTAATGTAATCTTTAGTAAATAAAAAAATTAGATTCTAAAAAAGTGAGGTTAGGCCGCTTTGATGTTAAATTAAATTGATCTATATAAAGTGCTTTGAAGATAAAATGTTGTATGCCATTCGGCCAAGAAGTGCCTTTTTGTGCTTCGCTCAATTGTAGGCCTGCTTAGCACAAAAAGCCTTACTTCGATTTATAAAATTATAATTTTGTAATTTAATTTTATAAATCATTCATTATTTTGTAGTTAGATATTTTTAATGGACTCCTTTTTGCAACAAAAAACCAAACAGACAGTATATTTCACGTTTAATTTAATTTAATGTTTAGTTTTATTTTTTTAGTAATAAAGGATTTTTTTTATTTCAAATAATATTGTTGATTTGTACTTTTTTTCAAATGTGTATATTTTCAAGGAAAAAGTTTTTTTCTTACTACCTCGACTCAAAATACGTTGTTCGGCCCCGATTCCACGGCAGAAAGTTTACGTTTCTTGCATTGGTCAAGCTATACGCGCACACTCTAATAGCGGGAGTAAAAATTTTTAAGTCGTGTGCTTAACATTCAAATTTCGTAGAGCCAACATGAGAAACACAAAAATATGACAGTTTTAAACCATAATTTTGCAATTATAACAACAAATAAACAATTTATGTTTTTACTTTTTTACTTTTTATGTTGTTTTAAGTGTTTAATGGTACTTTTATTTGTTATAAAGTAGTAATTTGTTAATTAAAATACAACGTTTTATTTTTACTGTATTGGCACCGCTGAATTCACGGCCTACTGTTATTTATTTATCAAGCTCTTCAAATGGAGATAGGTACATAAATACACATTTAATTTTTTTCCGTATTTTCGGCCGGGTTGTATTTTCGGCCGAGGTAGTAAGAAAAATAGTATACACTACACGGGCAGAAAGTGTGAGAGTCCTGAACTGCGCGCCATCATGGCGCGCAGTGCAGGAATCTCACACTTTCTGCCCTTGTAGTGTAATATACTATTTTTTCCCTTAAAAAGCCAATTTTTCCAAGGCTTGGGAAAAAACTGAAAAAACAGTTTTCTTACTACATCGACTCAAAATACGTTGTTTCGTCCTCGATTCCACGGCAGAAAGTTTACGTTTTATGCATTGGTCAAGCTATACGCGCACACCATAGAAAAAGGATATAAGAAGTGCGCCCTCTGTGTTAAACGAGGGAAACACGTCTATCATGACTCCCCCTAGTTGATGGGCCGGACTCAGCTCATATTGATTTTGACATACCAGGGCCGGCTTTTAAATTTTTATTTATTTATTTTAATAATTTTTAATTTTATTAAAAAAAAAACAAAATAGTGAAACATTTCTTTATTTACAATAAAAATCCTAATGCATTATGTGAAAAAATACGATTTTTAAAATATTCTGTGACTAAAAGTGTACAAACTATATACAATGATTAAAATTGTAGAAAAAGGCTATATCATATTTTGTTTTTATAAATTTGAATATTGTACATTCCTAAAAATTGTCCAATATCAACATAAAATGTATCAGTTCTAAAAATCTTACAAAAAAAGAGTTAGTACAGGATCTAGTGGAATTAAAAACAAATTTAAGAATAAAAATACTACCCCTTAAAAATTTAAACAAAAAACTAATATTCTTAACTAAATAATATTATATGCATTATATATGTATATATTTTAAGTAAAAGTATGTATTTACAAAAATATAATGACAATAATATTATTTCCTTGCAAAAATATCTTTTATTAAGATATTAAAAAATAATGCATTACAAAAATTCAATTTAATAATTAACATATTTTGGAATTTTTATCATAGAAAACGTTGTATAATTTAAAGCCTATTCAATTTGATTGATTATAGTTTGTAGTTCACAGGAGTTAACTACTGAACAACATCTTGCAAAAGTATCTTCTTTCTTCAAATAAGGATTCTGTATACATGCTATAGCATGCAGTTTTTATTTACAAAAGTTACTATGCAACTCGAATACCAAAGTTTTTCAATAGTAGATTGGGTCCCATTTGAAGTTATTAGCTTGGATTTATAAGAGTTGATTTGTATTGTAGATTGTTTATGTTCTCAGATTGGTTTACAGCAGATTTCATATTCCCACTTTAATTGTAGTTTGTATTGCATTTATGTAATTAAGATTTATGTTCTTATAACCTATAGGTTGGTTTTCCATATTTTCCTGATTCCAACTTTATTCAAAGATTTTGTTGAATTCATGCATGAATGTAAGTATGGTTTATGTTCTCAGGTTGGTGTCCCATGGCTTCCAAATTCCAACTTCCAACTTCCTTTTACAAATCAAAAAACCAATTAACAAACATAAAAAACAATGTTAAGCAAAAATATTGTGGGCAGTCTTTAGATATAAATATAGGTAGTAAAAATAAATATACATTCTAACACCAATAAGATTTAAATTAAAAAAAAATTCTAGTCTTTTAAAAAATAAAATTTAAAAAAATATTATTTGGCCTGATGAAATTTCTTTAATTTTTTGAAATGTCCCACAGTTAAATCCTTTTTGGATGCATTTTTTTCTTTAACATATCTAAAAATATTTAGGCGCACACATTTTTCAAAAATTTGAATGTGGCAATTATGGACATTACAAAAACAAAAAGCATCCAAAAGTGAATTATTTAGTTGCCTAAAATTTTTTTCTAAATATTGCAAGTGAGCATGTTCATCAAGATATTGATAAAGTTTGACATAAATTATATCAGTAAAATTAATAACATGGTCACTTGCATAGCTATGCTATGCCTAGGTCAACCTTTTTATTTCATCGTGCTCCTTATAAAATGTTAAGAGGTTATTGCTCTAACCCCTTCAATTATAAATTTTTACAAATAAATTTTGTAATATTCATGTTTACAGTTTGTAATATTTTTGTTTAATTTGTAGCTAGCTAAGGTGTTTAAAGCTCAAATGTTTATAACCAAGCGAGGGGTAAACCACTGATTTTTAAAATTAAAAATCGCTTACGAATTAACGGCTAAGGATAACAATAACAAGGGTAGTCATGTACAACGCGTCGCTAAGCACTGATTTAGCACCGATTAAGCAAGTTTTCCTTATTGATAACAACTGATAAGGAAAAAAATCTCAACACAATGTCCACTAACATTGAACGGTTGTCTCTAAGATTTTAAAGTGGTTTACCCCTCGTAACCAAGCCATAGAAAAATCGTGGAAAACCAAGCTTTGCTAGAAAGCAGTTTTGAATATTACTAATATTTGTACCCACCAACAAAATACTTACGTTTTCAAACTATATGTCCTGGACCCAAAATATCATAAAACTTGAAATCACCAACTTTCTTTGTGGCACAAAGTTTGTGAAACCTTCTTTCTAGTAAAACTAAAAAAATATCATTATCATTAGTAAAATTTTAATATTAATAATAATAGTCATAATAAAAATATTACCCAATGCTAAATTTAATTCAAAATGTTTTTTCAAAGACAAGTACATAATGTAAATTAGATATAAAGGTTATAAAAGCCTTTTAATATGTAGATAAATTAGGTACATTTATTCGAAATTAAGGTTATAAAAGCCTTTTAATATGTAAGTAGATCTTTACAAAGTAGATTTAAAATGAAATTGAATATTATTAAAATATAATAATTAGTAAAACTTGGCTAATAATTTATTTATAATTTATTATTAATAAACTTATAATACCCATTTAACTTTTGTAGACCTACATACAAACAAAAAACCTATAGGTACTATATTTAAAACTTGTCGGTTTTTTAGCAAAGCAGTTTAATTCGTCTTATTTCAAAAGTTACCTACATACAAACATATGTATATACACACCTGTATACCTACATTTAAACAAAATACTTTCAAACTACATACATATATAACATAATATGTTATATATTATATGAAATATCAAACCCATAAGGCATAAAACTTGGAAACAATCTACTTTTTCTATGAAGAAAATGTACCATAAAATTACACAAATCCTACTTAATAATAATAAACAGAACTTGCTTTGACAGTTAAACAATTATTGGTTTTACGACGTTGCCGAAAGTGGTGCGTTTTGTTTTTATTACAGGTTACTGTAATCTGTGCACGAACTGGCAACGCATCGTGGGGGAGTCATGTTTCCAATTCCCCCGCTTATGTTTCACCCCCCTGGCGCACACTCTAATAGCGGGAGTAAAAATTTTCTAGTCGTGTGCTTAACATTCAAATTTCGTACTGCCAACATGAGAAACACAAAAATATGACAGTTTTAAACCATAATTTTGCAATTATAACAACAAATAAACAATTTATGTTTTTACTTTTTTACTTTTTATGTTGTTTTAAGTGTTTAATGCTACTTTTATTTGTTATAAAGTAGTAATTTGTTAATTAAAATACAACGTTTTATTTTTACTGTATTGGCACCGCTGAATTTACGGCCTACTGTTATTTATTTATCAAGCTCTTCAAATGGAGATAGGTACATAAATACACATTTAATTTTTTATTTTCGGCCGAGGTAGTAAGAAAAATAGTATACACTACACGGGCAGAAAGTGTGAGAGCCCTGATGGCGCGCAGTGCAGGAATCTCACACTTTCTACCCTTGTAGTGTAATATACTATTTTCCCAATTTTTCCGTTTTTTTCCGACCCTTTAAAACCCTAATATTGTCTACAACTTAATAACATTTCAGTGTCACCTGGCGACGCTTCTAAAAACAGCCGAAGAACTAAAAATCAAAGGACTCGCCGAGGTGTCGTGGCGCGACGAGGAGCAGTCGTCGAAATGCGGCGACAGCGACAAGAACGGCATGCCGCCCATCATCCCGCCCGTCTCCACGGTGATGGAGAGTCCGAAGGCGCAGCAGCAGCAGCCGCCCGGCTTCGTCGACGGGAACAAGAAGAAGAGGGGGCGGCCGCCCATAGACGACTACGATTCCACGTTCACCACGCCCCGGATCATGGCGGTGACGGGGTCGTCGAGCGCGGGCGGCGGCGCGGGCGGCGGCGAGGACGGCTACTCGAACGACGCGATGTCGAGCAGCGAGCACGACATGAGCATCTGGGACGAGGATCAGTCGGCCAACGAGGCGAACGAGGCCACGGAAAACGACGAGCCGCCGATCAAAATTAAGAAGGAAACGGTGAGTTGTACACGGTGTGCCTGAACAACCCAAGTAGCACAACTGGTTAAATTAACGTTAAATTTACGTTCTGTCTGGTTAATTTACTTAAGTTATATTGTACTATAACGTTAAATTAACCTTAAATTAACGTTATTTTGTAATAAGTGGGGAATAAAAATCATGATTAATTTAACGTTATGTTAAGAAAATTTAACTTCTTGGTTAAAATACCTGTCGGTTAAAAAGTTAATATTTGGTTACTTTTGGTTAATTTTACCCTTTTTTGACTGCTTTTTAACTCTTTAGTCAACTTAAACTAAAGTGAAAAACCAACCATTTTAAGTTTATTTTAACTTAATATAATTATAATTTACCAAGTATGCATAGATCTATGAGTCTTAAGATTTTAAATAAAATGTCTCCCCTGAATATTAATATCTTCATTTTAATATTTAAAAGAGGTAGTTCTAGGAGAAAATTCAATGGGGCATTTTTTTTCTGATGAAATGGCTCATAATACTTTTATATTTTAAACGCGCTCAAAAAAGAATAAGAAATAAAGAAAATAAAAATTTTAAAAAAATATTTTTTTGCTTATTTAGTTTTTATTTTACTTAAAATTGATTTAAAATACTTTCAAACATAAAATAAGACTATTTTTTATTATTGGTATATTTAAATTACCTTATTTTTAAAATAAAAATAAAAAAAAAATTAATGGCATTTCCTTTTGTAAAATGAACAGCAAGCAATATGGCGATTATAGGATGCTTTTACTAATTGGTTATTTAACCAATATAAATTAACCTGCAAGTTTATTTAAACCATTTAGTTATTTCCTTGTGTTTAAGTTAACTACTTTATTTACCCACCAGTAATTTATAACTCTTGGGTTTTGGTTTCAATTTGGTTACATTTAACACATTATAGTTAAAATTTTCATTATAACACTATAATAAGAACAGAAATAAAACCCAAGAATAAGCACACAAAACACAAAGCCAACTGGTATTATTTTTCTATGTAGGTAACAATGAAAACTGCAAAACCATCACTTTTTTAACGAGTTGGTTGATTAACGTTAATTTACCATTTAGTTAAAGTACATTTGGTAAAATGCAACTTGTTGGTTAAAAAATATACTCAAATTAACCAAAACTGTGGTTAACTTACCAAAAGGTTCAATTTATAGTTAAAATGAACCAAAATATAACAAGAAAATTAACTACTCTTTATCAGTTTTATTGGTTAAAATTTAAAGTTAATATAACGTTATATAACTTCTAAAATAACCTACTTATTAACTAAGGTAAATTAAGGTTATTTTAAAAGTTACAATTAACTAAAACTTAACCATTTATTTAACTTGGAAGTATTGTTTCACTCATCAGTTATTTTTCAAGTTAAATTATAGTAAAAAATAACTTTTAAATTAACTCTTAAGTAATAGCAACTAGTTGGTTAATTTAAAGGTTTTTTTTAGTTTATAATAACCGTAAAAAACTAATTGGATAATTCAACTAATTGGTTAAAAACCCAAGTTAAAAAAAACGTCATTTAACTTAGATTTCGGTTAATTTACTTATACTAGTTATTTAACCGTTTGTGCTACTTGGGAAGTCTCAGGTCACATAAAAATGTCAACCAAAACGAAATTTTCCTCATAGCACGAAGACGACGCAGACGATCTGAGCAACAACTCCTTCAGCCTCAGCGACTTCAAAGGCGGCGCCAACCCCCTCAACAACGTAAAACCGGCAACGCCGGCCAACGCCAACGTGACGACGTCGGGCGGCCAGTCGTTTCTGACGCCGGCCCTGGAAAAGGAGTGGCCCGACGTGATCAAGATGAACGACTACCTCAACACCGGCCGCAGGCAGCAGTTTTGGGAGGAGCCGTTCACCAAGAGGGTCATGGACGCCATCAAGACCAAGAATTTGGAGATGAAGGTGGCCGCGGAGCTGCTGGGCGTCTCCTACGGCACGCTCTACGGAAGATACAGGGATTCCTACGGGTGTCTCAAACACCCATACAGGTAAACACGTTTGGATACTTTTTTCTTTCAAACTTCAGTAAAATGACGCTTTTGTGGCATTTCGCGGAATGTTAAAAGATAACACCAAAAATGATCATAAGAAAAAATTGAACCTACACCTCGCCAAAGTTTTTTGTTTTGAATGCGTTCCACCAACTTCAAATACCGACAGACAGCTGTTTCGACCTATATTGGGTCTCATCAGTGTCGGGCAACTTGGTGTAGTGGAACACAATCAAAACAAATTACTCCCTGAGCTTATATGCTCGGTTGTTAAGTCAACAGAGGCGAGATGTAAGAACATCAGGTGATCCACACCGTCAAACGACGGCAAAACTGCTTGAGCAATTACTAAACATGACAACCAATTGTGGCCGCAAACCAGAAAAGAATCTAAGTATAAAAAATATGAATATGTGAATATAACGTGACTTGACGTCCTCGACGGAAAATGCCCTAATAATGACGACAATATAACGTCAGTTTGCTACCTGGGAAACTTTCACAATAATTTTTTTGTCACCCGAGTTTCACCCCAAACAATATTTTCGATATGCTTTACAAAAAAAATACTCGATTTTATTGGCCCAGTCTAGAGATGCGACTTGAAAAAAAACGGTCCGTTTTTTTTTGTTTTTTTTCAGGTTTTTCTTCATTGTTTTTTTTCAAATGGTTTTTTTTTCTTCATATTTTAGGTTTTTTTCAAGATTAGTCCCATTTGCCTAATTTTTTATGTTTCCAGTCCAGTTCATGGACTAAAATTAGCCACTAAATGACATTTAGTAAATGTAAATACAGTCTCGCGCTATGCAAAAAAAGTAACTACCTACATATATTTTTGATTCAGCGCTTGATTTTTCAAAAAGCTACCAAAAGCACTTTTTTCATGATTTTTCAAATTCATGTAGAGTATGGAACGTTTTTTTTTCAAATTCTTGTAGAACATTTATTCATTGGTGGTTAAGTCAGAACATTTCGTGGACCAAAAAAGAAAGCCAATTTTTTTTTATTACAGTATTCGTTAGGATTGAGCGTTGCACGTTTTTCATGTAAAAATCTCAAAACTAGAAACTTCAACAAACAAGCTTCAAATTGCTTTTTTACGGCTCCAATACGACCATTTTTAACGAAGATACAGCTATCCGAAAAATCGCAAAAAAATTGGATTTTTTTTTATCCTTTAATTTTTTCTATCATTGTAGAAGTTTTACATTGCTATTGGTTTCTTATGTAGAAACTACCAAATAATAAGAAATCAGATTTTTTAGTCTCGGTCAAAATTTTCAATAATGAAAAATGTAATATATTCTACATTTCACTTTATTATTAATAAACATTTTACTCAAAATTTAATTTTGAAAAATTACTCAATTTTTTAAGATTGATGATATTTATTGACAGAATATGCTTTATTGTAGCAGATTTGAAAGAAAACAAAAAAAGTCGATTTTCTCTAGGTTTTTTTCACATCTGAAAAAAAAACGTTTTTTTACATCTCTAGTAGGGTGGGCCGATTTTATATTTAACTTCTAAAATTTAAAAATATTAAATTCTGCATTTAAGAAAAAGTTGTGAAATAGGAAAGTAAACATTTTCTGCAAAATATTTTTTTTGATATCTATATGTTTTGAACTGCCGCAACGCCTCTAAAAATTTAAAACTAATTTTTAAAAAAATTAAAATTATTCATAAGCGGGAAAGTTGTGAAATAGGAAAGTAAACTATTTTCCTTTAATATTTTTTTTCTTTTTTAATGTTTTGAACTGTATGAACTATAAATTTTAAATTTTGCAATAATTGCAATTAATGGAGAGACGGCGTAAAATGGAGAATAAATATTTTTTTAAGATTTTCGTGTTTGACGTAGGACAAATCGACCCATGCAACGAAGACTATTGTAACTCAGTTTTGATTGTAGACTATAGAGTAACTCAACTTAATATAGTTTTTTTCTGTAGGAATGTGGATTATTATACTTACTATACAGGGAAGTTGTTCACTGGTTGCCTATCGTTTCATGTCTGAGTTACTGTAATCTTCCACCAAATAGAGCTTAAAAAAATCTGTTGATGCCATATAGTAAGTCAAACGTTTTTTGAGTTACTATAGTCTTCGTTGCATGGGTCGAAATGACATTTGGCTTCACTGTTTATATAAATTATAATATTTTGACATCGTCAATTAGTTGAATAATAGAAATTTTTACAAATAGTATCTGTATGTGGTTTTTGGGTGTTTGTGAAAAATGGCAGGTAAAACAGGATTATAAATTGAATTAAATTTGTGTTGATGATAAATTAATTTTTATTTTTGTTTTTTTTTAATAAATATTTATTCATAACTTTTTTTAACCCTATTTTCTCTCAGATAATTTTTTTCGTATTTATAACGATACTAAATTACATTAAGATCTCTTAAGGCCTTGCGGCAGTTTAAGAAATTAAAATTAAAAAAAAACCCTTATAATATTTTTCTGGCCTTATAAATCTGAGAGGTGATTTTTGGATTTTCTGTGAAACCTAATTTTTTTTATATTCTTGTTAATTAGGTCATAACTAAAATTTTAAGAGCAAAATAAAAAAAATTGGAGGTTAATTTTGGTTTAATTGGATGTTTATTAAAAATATGTATGCACACTTTCAATTCTCCAATTAAAACTTGCGCTTTTATTTAAATATTATCATAACTTTTTAAATCAGATTAAAGATTAGTTAATTTCCTAAAAAAAGGTCTATACATTTTTTATATCTTTTACTGTTTTGTTGTAATACACGTTTAAAGTTTTAATTTAAGGTTAAATGTATAGTATACATCACGGTCTTATATACAGGTCTTGCAACTTTAAGCTTCGAGGTGGCTTCCTTAACGTGCCAAGCCGCTAGGTGGCGCTAAGATCGAAGGGGTAAAGTCAATTAAACTACTACTTAGTTAAATGTGGAACTACTGCATAACCATAACCTAACTTTTTAAATTATTTTTCTATGTTTTGTTTACATTTTCAAAAATTTAATATTTGTGAGTTTGTTTCGGATAATTTACGTTAACAAAATAGGACAACAAAGTCTATACTCTATGCACAAAGTCCTCGGCCGTCACATGCCCAGACCAAACATGTTAATGTATAAAATACATACGTATATCATATATATGATGCTAATGTGTAAACATGGATAGTTTATTAAGTAGCTGGGTAGTTTATAAACTAGCCAAACTGTCAGCTATTTTAATTGAAAACGTATTTTTAACTAAATTAGCGGCTAGTTTGTAAACCAACCAAGGGTCTTGGCTAATTTACTTGAAATTATTTAGGAATAGCTGGATAATTTGTAAACTATCCAATTCAATTTGGCTAATATGAAAACCAAAATTTCTAGTAACACAACAAACTAACCAACCAATATTCTGGCTAATTTATTAATAACCGATTTTTTTATTGTCTTGGCGGGGATGGGTTGATTGTTTATTTAAAATAATATATATTTCACCAACACGATGTGCTTAATTATATAATAATCATACAAAATGTGAAGGTGTCAATAATATGTTTTTTATTGCACATTGCCATGTTTTTAACCGCTTCTTATTTGTTAGCACTTTAAACATGGACCGCTTAATTTTAATGCCGGAACGATAGCTTTGCTGGTTACATTTTGGCACAACACAGGACTTCATGTCTATTAAAAAGCACAAATACAAGTGTATAACAAGAAAAAATAGAACAATATAATATAACAATAACGAATATCACAATAACAATAAGTAAAAACTCCCTGTAACAAAATACATAAGCTTGTTTATAAAAATGTAGGTTATGTTTCTTCACAGAAAATAAGTAGGTAGTTCATTTGACCTTTATCCCATAGACTTTAAGGACTTAGAGCCGGTTTTACAATCGTTAGATTAAGTTAGCTTATTTGGCGGATAACTTTCATAGAAACCTTCTATCTAAGAAAATTATCCACCAGAGAGCTTATCTAACGATTGTAAAACCCAAAGATAAAGAAGGTAAAAACGACCTTTAAACATCTATGGTTCACCCTCAACTCGATGCGATGGGTGTCTCATTAGAGAGGTCACTTTTCCTATTGAAATTGGGCGAAGTTGCAAGACCTGTATATAAGACCGTGGTATACATTTATTAAACAATAATTCTAAGGGTGCCACATTTTATTTAGGGCCGATTTATTCATTTTTGATTTTTTTGACGAATAATTTCTTTGGATACTGCCAAGACATGAAAGTTATCGGCCCGATAAACTTTACTAAAGATGAATAAACCGGTCCTTGGTTAAATTTCATGAATTTCTTCTACAATTTTTCATTTTTGTTTATAAAAAACACTTTAAAAAACTAAACAAAAATTATAGAATACGTATACCACGGTCTTATATACAGGTCCTGCAACTTTAAGCTTCGAGGTGGCTTCCTTAACGTGCCAAGCCACTAGGTGGCGCTAAGATCGAAGGGGTAAAGTCAATTAAACTACTACTTAGTTAAATGTGGAACTACTGCATAACCATAACCTAACTTTTTAAATTATTTTTCTATGTTTTGTTTACATTTTCAAAAATTTTATATTTGTGAGTTTGTTTCGGATAATTTACGTTAACAAAATAGGACAACAAAGTCTATACTCTATGCACAAAGTCCTCGGCCGTCACATGCCCAGACCAAACATGTACATAAGAAAAACATGTTAATGTATAAAATACATACGTATATCATATATATGTTACGGCTAATGTGTAAACATGGATAGTTTATAAAGTAGCTGGGTAGTTTATAAACTAGCCAAACTGTCAGCTATTTTAATTGAAAACGTATTTTTAACTAAATTAGCGGCTAGTTTGTAAACCAACCAAGGGTCTTGGCTAATTTACTTGAAATTATTTAGGAATAGCTGGATAATTTGTAAACTATCCAATTCAATTTGGCTAATATGAAAACCAAAATTTCTATTAACACAACATAGCCAAGCTTTAGATAGTTTACAAACTAACCAACCAATATTCTGGCTAATTTATTAATAACCGATTTTTTTATTGTCTTGGCGGGGATGGGTTGATTGTTTATTTAAAATAATATATATTTCACCAACACGATGTGCTTAATTATAAATTAATCATACAAAATGTGAAGGTTTCAATAGTATGTTTTTTATTGCACATTGCCATGTTTTTAACTGCTCCTTATTTGTTGGCACTTTAAACATGGACCGCTTAATTTTAATGCCGGAACGATGGCTTTGCTGGTTACATTTTGGCACAACACAGGACTTCATGTCTATTAAAAAGCACAAATACAAATGTATAACAAGAACAAATATAACAAAAACAAATATAACAAGAACAAATATAACAAGAACAAATATAACAAGAAAAAATAGAACAATATAATAAAACAATAACGAATATCACAATAACAATAAGTAAAAACTCCCTGTAACAAAACACACAAGCTTGTTTATAAAAATGTAGGTTATGTTTCTTAACACAGCTGTGAACATAAGTAGGTAGTTCATTTGACTTTTATCCCATAGACTTTAAGGACTTAGAGCCAGTTTTACAATCGTTAGATTAAGTTAGCTTATTTGGCGGATAACTTTCATAGAAACCTTCTATCCAAGAAAATTATCCACCAGAGAGCTTATCTAACGATTGTAAAACCCAAAGATAAAGAAGGTAAAAACGACCTTTAAACATCTATGGTTTACCACCCAACTCGATGCGCCATCTGGTGGGTGTCTCATTAGAGAGGTCACTTTTCTTATTGAAATTGGGCGAAGTTGCAGGACCTGTATATAAGACCGTGACGTATACTGAAAATGACAATTCAAACGTCAAATAAATTTTTAATAGATCTAAGTTTCATGGCAACCTTTAAGGATATATTAATTAAGGGAACATAAATGTATACCTCAAAGGTTTGAACGTTTATTGCAACAAAACAGTAAAATATATTTTAAAAAATTGTAAAAACTTTTTTTTTTAGTTATGCAAATATTAAATATTTAAATTAAATCGCTTGTTTTAATTGGATAATTGAAATAGTGCATAATATTTTTAATAAACAGCCAATTAAAACAATTCAAACCGTCAGTTTTTTTTATTTTGCTCTTAAATTCTTAGTTATGACCTAATTACCAGGAATATAAAAAAAATAGGTTTCACAGAAAGTCTGAAAATCACCTCTCAGAACAGCACCGTGATTTTGGAAGGTTATGTTAATATGGTTATATTTTTTTATGTATACTACCTATAGTAAATTTAAAAGTAAACTACGTACACGTCATCAATCAGCTGATCGGGCACGGTTGTCAATGTGATGCTAAAATCCTTGCATCAAGGGAAATTGGTAGTGCAACTACAGGGCGATAGATGGCGTTTACATGAATAATACTAAAATGTCAAAAGTCTGAGTTTTTATAACCTATATGATGCACCGCCAAAAGTATGTTTTTAGCCATTTTTAAAGACATTTTCTGATATAAAACCCAAAAATTTTGCCATCTAAAGTCAGTCTCTGGTATATATATTATTATTTTATGTATCCAACATATATTTTGTTAAATATTCTAATATATAATTAATAATAATCCTATTTACCTCTCTAACAGCTGTTAAAGGTAACAAAGGTCCATTATTATCCCGTTCTGCCTGAAAATAGCGTATTGACACAAACTCTTGACTCCGACTATTTAAATTAAGGCTGGGAATTTGTTAGTTTTTGGAATTCGAATACTCGTTTAAAAATTATTTGAAATACTCGAATTATTCGAATATTCGAATATTCGAGTATTCGAGTATTCGAATTATTCGAATATTCGAGTATTCGAATAATTCGAATATTCGTGTTCTCGTAAATTCGAATAATTCGAATATTCATGTCTTTATAATCTGTGATTCATGTCCTCGTACATTCGAATAATTTGAATATAGAGTACATTTTTAAATATTCAAATAATCGAATTTTTAAATACTCGAATATTAAAATATTTCAATTAATCAAAACTATCTTTGCTTTGCTTATTTTTGATAACATGGGGGGTGGGGGTCTAGGTGGTGATTACGTCAGCATTAGTTATTTACTTTTTTACACATATGGCAACCCACACATTGTCTATGCTTGAAATTAGTAATTACTGATTACTTTTTGCTACTGTCCAAAACGAAGCGACTACATATATCGCTTTTTTCGAATTTGATTATTTTTGGAATTTTCAAAATTCAAAAGCCATCTAATTTTTGATGAGAGCTGTTAATTTTTTTTAATAAAAATGACAAATTAACATATTCGAAAATAGTATATTACACTACAAGGGCAGAAAGTGTGAGATTCCTGCACTGCGCGCCATGATGCCCGAGGCGAAGCCGAGGGCATCATGGCGCGCAGTTCAGGGCTCTCACACTTTCTGCCCGTGTAGTGTATACTATTTTTCTTGCTACCCCGCAGAAAATACGGGAAAAAATTAAATGTATATAAAAAAACTTGTGTCAAAATTAAAATCTGACGTTTAATTTAATTCTGACGTTTACATTCAAAATCAATCAAACTGTAGCGTTGTCATGGTAATTCAGCGGTGCCAATACAGTAAAAATAAAAGGTTGTATTTTAATTAACAAATTACTACTTTATAACAAATAAAAGTACCATTAAACACTTAAAACAACATAAAAAGTAAAAAAGTAAAAACATAAATTGTTTATTTGTTGTTATAATTGCAAAATTATGGTTTAAAACTGTCATATTTTTGTGTTTCTCATGTTGGCAGTACGAAATTTAAATGTTAAGCACACGACTGAAAAATTTTTACTCCCGCTATTAGAGTGTGCGCGTATAGCTTGACCAATGCAAGAAACGTTAACTTTCTGCCGTGAAATCGGGGACGAAACAACGTATTTTGAGTCGAGGTAGTAAGAAAAAGTTTTTTTTGCACCACCCTTATATATACTAATTTAAAGTGTTTTAATATCCGAGTATTCAAATATGCGAGTATTCGAATATTCGAGTATTCAAATATGCGAGTATTCGAATATTCGAATATTTGAATATTCGAGTATTCGAATATTCGAATAATTTATAATCGATTTCCACCCCTATTCGAATACTCGAATATTCGAATATTCGAATTATTCGTAATCGATTCCCAGCCTTAATTTAAATGCTTCGGCATGGAAACACAAAAAAACGATATATAACAAACACAAAAACGGCAATGAAAACTTAAACGATATAAAATAACACAAACAACAAACAAATTAAACGAAATAATACACGAATTAGACGAAATATTCAAAAACACAACTGACAGCTTTGAAATTCTAAAACGTCAAATTATTTTTTATGTGTCATTTAAATATGAAAAATTTGAATGTAAACATGACAACATCGCAATTGTTGCCAACATAATTTGGTTAAAATGCATTCAAATATTCAATTACAGACTTCGATTTAGTCATTTAGTGTTGGTACCAGTGCGCAAATTTATGACGTCATCGATGACGTGTACGTAGTTTACTTTTAAATTTACTATATATCAGTATATAAATATAGGTATACCAAATAATTGTTAAATATGGTTCATATTAAATTGAAGCTTTTATACTTCCAACAACAAAACTTGTGCATACCTCTCAGGCAGAGTTTTGTTGTTGGAAGTATAAAAGCTTCAATTTAATATGAACCATATTTAACAATTATTTAGTATACCTAAGTATAGTAAATTTAAAAGTAAACTACGTACACGTCATCAATAAAACAAAAATTTTACGCATTGGTACCAACACCAAATGACTAAATCGAAGTCTGTAATTGAATATTTGAATGCATTTTAAACATCATCAGTTGGCAACAATTAAGATGTTGTCATATTTACATTCAAATATTTCATATTTAAATGACATATAAAAAAGAATTTGACGTTTTAGAATTTCGAAGCTGTCAGTTGTGTTTTGAATATTTCGTTTAATTCGTGTATTATTTCGTTTATTTTGTTTGTTGTTTGTGTTATTTTATATCGTTTAAGTTTTCATTGCCGTTTTTGTGTTTGTTATATATCGTTTTTTTTGTGTTTCCTATATTTAAAATGCCGAAGCATTTAAACAGTCGGAGTCAAGAGTTGGTATCATCCTTAATACGCTATTTTGAGGCAGAACGGGATAATAATGGACCTTTGTTACCTTTAACAGCTGTTAGAGAGGTAAATAGGATTATTATTAATTATATATTAGAATATTTAACAAAATATATGTTGGATACATAAAATAATAATATATATACCAGAGACTGACTTTAGATGGCAACATTTTTGGGTTTTATATCAGAAAATGTCTTTAAAAATGGCTAAAAACATACTTTTGGCGGTGCATCATATAGGTTATAAAAACTCAGACTTTTGACATTTTGGTATTATTCATGTAAACGCCATCTATCGCCCTGTAGTTGTACTACCACTTTCCCTTGATGCAAGGATTTTAGCATCACATTGACAACCGTGCCCGATCAGCTGATTGATGACGTGTACGTAGTTTACTTTTAAATTTACTATATATAATACTTCATTATTTCAAAGAAAAAAAGGAAAAACATTTTTTTTTTACAAACGGGGCTTGGATGGAGTTATTGAAATTTTCACCGTTTAACATATAACCCTGTAAGAAATTTACTTGAAGAACCGTGAGCTTCATATCTATAGCATGAATTGCCAGTGGATGAGGCTAGCAGACAACAAAGACCAAAATAAAATAGTTCAAGAAACAAAAAAGTTATTTCGTTTTGAAAAAGAACGAACTTTTTGGTCGCGACACATTGAGTGGTGCGCAGTTTAGTATTATGGTCAAACTTTCGCAATAATTTTTTTGTCACCCCAAACAATATTTACAAAGAATGGTCGTTTTTTTGGCCCAGTCTAGTAGCACGGATGTTATTTTCGTTGGTTTTAGGGTGAGAGACTTCTGGACAGAGCAGGGCCCCACCGACGTGCTCCTCAAGCTTAAGCGCAAGGAGATCACGCTGTTCCGCGCCGCGGAACAGCTGAACGTCACGCCGCAGACGCTCTCGAACTACTTGATATCGATGTCGCAGCTGGAGACGGGCGAGGGCGGCGCCGGCGGCGGCGGCCCGTTCCACCCGCAGTGGAACGACGACGAGTCGGAGGACGAGGCCGACTCGATCCTGCCCGACCTGCCGGCGCACGCGCCCGCCGCCTTCAAGCGCAACGTTGCCGCGTCGGCCTCGAGCAGCGGCAACTCGGTGCTGGCGCACTGCCCCGACATAACCATCATCAAGAAGGAGAAGCCCGAGGTCAAGGTCAACAATAACTCGGATCATTCCGAGACGGTCGGCGATCGGGGCGATTAATTTCCTTTTTGCGTTTCGCGATGCTGCGTGAATGAAAATCAAGGCTTTTTGTGGAAAATTGTTTCTGTAAAAAGCAATCAACCAATCGGAGATCGACATTCTCTATCGCACCCAGCGTGCTGTGGATAATGCCCTGCTCCGATTCGTTTGTTGCTTTTTATAGAGATAACTTTCTTTGGAAAGTAAAGTCGCAAATATCAAAAAACTTTGTTTAAAATTTATACTTCTTACCCGGTTTCAAACGATTGTGTATCAAAAATATATGCACATTTTTTTAAGAAAATAGAATTAACAACGTTATCTTACAAAAATTTCGTCAAAATAGAAAAAATGGGAAAAAGACGTAAATTTTAAATTTTCTCAAAAAAAAACAACTTTTTGGAACAAAAAATAAATTTCAAAAACTTATAAAACTTTTCCAGCGAAAAAATTCTGCCATTTCTTTGTCTATTTTGATGAATATTTCGTCAAATTAAAACAATTTTTTTTTAGGGAAATAAATTCTAATCTTTTTTGATCGATTTTGATGAACTTTTTACTTAAAATCAAATACATTTCAAAAAATAGAATAAACAAGGTTGTCTTGTAAAAATAACTTATCAAAATAAAAGAAATGGAAAAAATACGTCAATTTTACATTTTCTCAACAAAAAAAAACAACTTTGTGGAAATTTATCAAAATGGGCGTTTCTTGAAATTTCACTTCGCTTTCTATAGAAAATTATTTCTATAAAAAGCAATAAACTAATCAGAGCTCGACATTCTCTATCGCACCCAGCGTGCTGTGGATAATGCCCTGCTCTGATTCGTTTGTTGCTTTTTATGGAGATAACTTTCTATGGAAAGTGAAGTCGCAAATATCAAAAAACTTTGTTTAAAATTTATACTTTTTGCCCGGTTTCAAACGGTTGTGTATCAAAAATATATACACATTTTTTAAAGAAAATCTTAACTGCCTTCATGTTCTTAAAGTGCCTTTAAAACTTTTTACTTGGAATTAAACACACTTTAAGAAAATAGAATGAACAACGTTAATTTCGTCAAAATAGAAAAAATGGGAAAAAGATGTAAATTTTAAATTTTCTCAAAAAAAACAACTTTTTGGAATAAAAAATAAATTTCAAAAAAACTGTTATAAAACTTTTCTAGCGAAAAAATTTCTGCCATTTCTTTGTCTATTTTGATGAACTTTTTACTTAAAATCAAATACACTTAAAAAAAAATAGAATAAACAAGGTTGTCTTGTAAAAATAACTTATCAAAATAGAAAAAATGGAAAAAAGACGTAAATTTTAGATTTTCTAAAAAAAACAACTTTGAAAAAATTTGTTTATCAAAATAAATTAAAAAAAAAATTCCAATGATTCGTTGGGGTTGTCGTTTCTTGAAATTTCACTTCGCTTTCTATAGAAAATTATTTCTATAAAAAGCAATAAGCCAATTAGAGCTCGACATTCTCTATCGCACCCAGCGTGCTGTGGATAATGCCCTGCTCTGATTCGTTTGTTGCTTTTATAGAGATAACTTTCTATGGAAAGTAAAGTCGCAAATATCAAAAAACTTTGTTTAAAATTATATTTATATAATTGTGATCAATTTTGATGAACTTTTTACTTAGAATCAAATACACTTTAAATAGAATGAACAAAAAAAATCGTCAAAATAGAAAAAATACGAAAATATTTTGTTTGTCTATTTTGATGAATATTTTGTCAAAGTTGAAATGAATTTTTTCAGGGAAAGAAATTCTCATAAATTTTGATCAATTTTGATGAACTTTTTACTTGAAATCAAATACACTTTAAGAAAATAGAATGAACTACCTCATCTTACAAAAAAATTGTCAAAATAGATATTTTGTCAAAGTTGAAATGAATTTTTTTAGGGAAAGAAATTCTCATAAATTTTAATGAACTTTTTACTTAAAATAAAATACACTTTAAGAAAATAGAATGAACAAAAAAAACAACTTTTTGAAAGTTTGTTTATCAAAGTAAATTAAAAAAAAAATCAGTTATAAAACTTTTCCAGCAAAAGACATTGTGACATTTCTTTGTCTATTTTGATAAATATTTCGTCAAAGTTGAAATGAATTTTTTCAGGAAAAAAAATTCTCATAAATTTTGATCAATTTTGATAAACTTTTTACTTGAAATCAAATACACTTTAAGAAAATATAATGAACAACCTTATCTTACAAAAAAATCGTCAAAATAGAAAAAATGGGAAAATATTTTGTTTGTATATTTTGATGAATATTTTGTCAAAGTTGAAATTAATTTTTTTAGGGAAAGAAATTCTCATAAATTTTGATCAATTTTGATGAACTTTTTACTTAGAATCAAATCCACTTTAAGAAAATAGAATGAACAAGGTTATTTTACAAAAAAACAACTTTTGGAAAGTTTGTTCATCAAAATAAATTTAAAAAAAAATTAGTTATAAAACTTTTATAGCGAAAGACATTCTGACATTTCTTTGTCTATTTTGATGAATATTTCGTCAAAGTTGAAATAAATTTTTTTAGGGAAAGAAATTCTCATAAATTTTGATAAATTTTGATGAACTTTTTACTTAGAATCAAATACACTTTAAATAGAATGAACAACACAATCTTACAAAAAAATCGTCAAAATAGAAAAAATGGGAAAATATTTTGTTTGTCTATTTTGATGAATATTTTGTCAAAGTTGAAGTAAATTTTTTTAGGGAAAGAAATTCTCATAAATTTTGATCAATTTTGATGAACTTTTTACTTAGAATCCAATACACTTTAAGAAAATAGAATGAACTACCTTATCTTACAAAAAAATCGTCAAAATAGAAAAAATGGGAAAATATTTTGTTTGTCTATTTTGATGAATATTTTGTCAAAGTTGAAATTAATTGTTTTAGGGAAAGAAATGTTCATAAATTTTGATGAACTTTTTACTTAAAATCAAATACACTTTAAGGAAATAGAATGAACAAAAAAAAACAACTTTTTGAAAGTTTGTTTATCAAAATAAATTTTTAAAAAAATCAGTTATAAAACTTTTCTAGACATTGTGACATTTCTTTGTCTATTTTGATAAATATTTCGTCAAAGTTGAAATGAATTTTTTTAGGGAAAGATATTCTCATAAATTTTGATCGATTTTGATGAACTTTTTACTTAAAATCAAATACACTTTAAGAAAATAGAATGAACTACCTTATCTTACAAAAAAAAATCGTCAAAATAGAAAAAATGGGAAAATATTTTGTTTGTCTATTTTGATGAATATTTTGTCAAAGTTGAAATGAATTTTTTTAGGGAAAGAAATTCTCATAAATTTTGATCAATTTTGATGAACTTTTTACTTAGAATCAAATACACTTTAAGAAAATAGAATGAACAAAAAAAACAACTTTTTGAAAGTTTGTTTATCAAAATAAATTTTTTTTAAAATCACTTATAAAATTTTTCTAGCGAAAGAAATTTTAACATTTCTTTGTCTATTTTGATGAATATTTTGTCAAAGTTGAAATTAATTTTTTTAGGGAAAGAAATTCTCATAAATTTTGATCAATCTTGATGAACTTTTTACTTAGAATCAAATGCACTTTAAGAAAATAGAATGAACAACGTTATCTTACAAAAAAATTCTTCAAAATATAAAAATGGGAAAAACTTAAATTTTCTCGAAAAAAACAACTTTTTGGAAGTTTGTTTATTAAACTAAAATTGAAAAAAATCAGTTATAAAACTTTTCTAGCAAAAGAAATTTTTTGTCTATTTTAATGAATATTTTATCAAAGTTGAAATGAAATTATTTTAGGGAATGAAATTCTGATCCTTTTTGTTTTGATGAACTTTTTACTTAGAATCAAATACACTTCAAGAAAATAGAATAAACAAGGTTGTCTTGTAAAAAAACTTGGAAAAATATACATGAACTTTAAATTTTTTCGAAAAAAAATAACGTTGTGGAAATTTGTTTATCAAAATAAATTAAAACAAAAACTTATTAAACTTTTCTTAGCAAAAGAAATTATTTTCTTTGTCTATTTTAATGAATATTTTTTCATCAAAGTTAAAATTAAATTTTTTTAGCAAAAGAAATTCTGATAAATTCTTATCAATATTGATGAACTTTTTACTTAAAATTAAATACACTTCAAGGAAATAAAAAAAGCTCATCAAAATAGAAAAAAATGGATAAAAGACGTAAATTCCACAAATTTGTGTAAATTTGTTCATCAAAATAAATTAAAAAATATCAGTTATAAAATTTTTCCAGGGAGAGATTTTTTTGTCTATTTTGATGAATATTTATGATTATCATTATAATTTTATCAAAAATTGAAGTTAAAGAGTTTTTGACAATTTGTTGAAAACAATTTTTAAACAAAGTTTTTCGAAAACCAGACATAGGTGACTTAAAAAGTTCAAAAACAATGTAGCATCGTGTCATTATTAACGAACTGAACAATTCCACTTTCAAGTATTTTATACAGACCAAAGTAATTTTGTACTGTTTTTTTAGTTTTTTTTCTAGAAAGTAAAACAATCTTCTCGCTAAAATGTAGTAGTGATATGGATAATACCAAAACAAATAGTGTGTACAATATAATTTTTAAGAATGTTTTTTAACACTGCACAATGAATTTCACATTTACTCTCTTAGTAATTTGACAAATGACAAAAGTATTTATTTTATTTTTAAGATTTAATTATTAATTTAAAATATCAAATATTAAATAATTCAAAAAAAGTAATTTATGCAGACTGCTTTACAAAACAAATTCAATCAAATTTGATTTGTTGAATTAGGATTATTTTTAATTATACAAGGTGTACCTAAATGCCTGTAAAAATAATGCGATAAAAACAATTTTATAAACGAACTTTCAACTTGAACAAAAATATCATGACAATTAAAGTGACATAAAAGAACGATTCGGTCAGTATTAAAAACAGAAAAATATATTTTTTTATATAGAACAAAATGGTATCCTAATATGGCATATGTGCCATA